CTAGCAGAGCCACATGTGCATCTGATGTTTTGATTCTGCTGACAGGGAGAAGAAATGCCATTTTCTATCGACCCAAAATAAATACTGTCCAAAAAATTTGAGGAAATGGGTAGAATAGCAATGCAGAGGAAGCAAAATGCTTCGTTTATTTCTTGAACTACTGGCATGGCTTGATATCTTTAATAAAATAAATATTTAGAAATAGAAACAGTCTTTGGCATTTTTCATACTTTTTCAGGACCCTCTTATTTTTGTTTTGTGACAAATACAATTTGTTACCATCACCATGAATCACCAAGGGCTTCAGCTGGTGGAAATCCACAATTTTCTGTTGAAAATATGTTTTGAATTACAGTTATAAGTAGCAAGCTCTTCCAGAGGGCTGTTTCAGTAAGACCTGTCTCTGAATAAAATGAGATTTCAGCCAAAGTTCAAGATAAATGGGAAACTAGACTGAGTGGTAGATGGGAACGATGTGGACCAAATCAGATGTTGACATTATACAATGTACAGCAATTGTCTGGGAACCACTTCCACAAGAAAAAGCAGTAGTGAGAAGTTACTGTTTCATGCTGTCTTATTTTAGAGAGTCTGCAGCAGAACCTGGCAAGGGGTTGTGGTGCACTTCTGTCTTCAACTTCTACATAACTGAATTCCTCTTTGTTGAGAGGAAGATTTCGGTTTCATATATCACTTGTTATTAATAATTACCTTGCGCTGTTACAGTGTTTAAAATCCCTTTCCACACTAAGTTTTGCATGATGGTGGAACAAAAACCTGCTCCTTGCTCTGAAAATGTAAAGGTTTGGTGTAAAATGGGGGTTACAGAGAGCAATCAGTGTTATAGAGGAGCAGATGGACTCCTTTGCTCAGTGCTGCAGTCCTGGCATGCCCAGGAGAAAGAACAGTCTCATCTCTTCATGCCAGGCTGGATGGGGCTCTGAGCAACCTGATCTCATGAAAGGTGTCAGTGCCCATGACAGGGAATTGGAACTGGGTGATCTTTAAGGTCCCTTCCAAGCCAAATCATTCTGTGTTTCTGTGACATCTGAAAGCCCAGAGTATGTCACCTTTATTTCCCTAAATACCAGTACTAATTGCTTCATGTCCTACAGCCTAACTCTGGCTAAGCCAAGAGCAGGGTTTCAGTGTCTGTCAAGAGGAAGAAAAATTCCATGTGGAAGATGACCAGAAACACCTGACCAAGTACAAAATTTGCTGCCTTTTAGCATTCAAAATGAGCTGCCAGCTTGCAGCTGGGCTAATGGGAAGGAATGCACTCTCCCAGGGCAGCCATGGCTGGAAAGCCCTTGGGTCCAGCTTTATTCAGCTTCTGTCATTCATATGAATAAATCCCCCCTCTATCAAACCACCCATCGCTCCAATCACTACCCCCTGAACCTGACCATGAACTTAAACTTCTTCGACCAATTTTCAAGCCCATCCTTCCTAGGAATCCCACTAATTCTCATCTCAGTAATATTCCCTCTTACTCTTACTACCTCTTACTACCCTCCCTAGACAATCAATTAATTACTAACTGACTCTCAACCCTCCAGCTATGATTTATCAACCTAGTCACAAAACAACTAAAAATACAACAAATAACAATAATGGGAGCAGTGCTGCCTGCCTAGGTTCTCCCCTGGCACAGTGGGCTCCAGAGCCAGCTGGGGCTGGGCAGACCCTGCATTTCTGTTGCATCCCTGGGTGATGTGAGCAGAGGCTCCCCAGCCCATGGGATGAGTATAGATGGTGTGGCTTTGGTCCCTGGCTGGGTGACTCAGTTGCCCCCTCCCAAGCACAGCCATGACCAGCACAAGCACTGCACACACAGCCCAGGACAGGGACAGCCAGGGCCACAGGGTATCCTTGCCCACACTGATGGTGCAGCATCCTCTGCCCCACGGACCCAAAGAGGATCTCTCACCAGGCTGGCAGCTGTGGCTCAGGATAAAGCCCTGTGGTTATGGGTGCAGCCAATCCCTGGCACAGGTGTTCTGGTTAGTTGTTCACTGAAACACTGAAGAGAAACCCAAAGAACTCTGCAAAATGCTGTAGTGGAAGGTCTGGGAGGAAGCTGCAGGCACAGTCCCTGTGGCTTTGTGGGCAGAGATGGGTGTCCACAGGGGCATCTGGCAGGGGGTACCTGCTTTGTGCTTCCCAGACAGAGCTCAGATGGAAAACCCTCTTGTCTGGAGGAGGGAGCTCATTCCCAGGCTCTGAGCTGCCAGCTTGCAGCTGGGCTAATGGGAAGGAATGCACTCCCCAGCAATGATTCTTTATAAATTATTTTTACTGGAAGATTTGAATGTCGTTACAGTGAATGTGTGTACAAATATTGGAAGAACAATGTGTGCTAGAGAAAACAAAGTGAAAAACCACTCGGCTTCCTATTTCTCCTGGGTAAACCTGTGATTTCTCCCACCTTCTTGAGTTGCAGTCTAATACAATATTGTACAGCCTGCTGCCTCCTTAAATAATTCCTGCTGGAGCAGCAGACACTGAGTACATCACTCAAACCCCATGAAGTTGTTTAGCTTTCTGTTCCACATCCTGAGGAGTTAATTCTCTGGGAGAATGGAATGACCTGGATGTTCCTCTGGGTGCTCTCCTGGCACAGGATAACTCCTGGCATGGGGCTGGAGCTGGATACTTTGGGGGGCTTTCCAGTTTTACTGTCAGTCCTATTCTCCTGAGTTCCCATTTCCCCTCTTCCTGTTCCTCACACTGCTATTGTGATTCAAATAAATGTGATATATTAATGTTTCACCGGTTTAAAATGAACTGCAATTACTAACAGAGGATTTATTTCATTTACTTCCAGCCACCTAGAAGTCAAGCATCTGGCTTACAGGAGTCATCTATAGTCTGGGGAGAGCCATGGGCATTGCCAGAAGTCAAATGCCTTCCTACCTATTTAAAATACCTTTTTTAGGCTGAGATGAAAGCCCATGGCTGTAGAGGAACTACAAACCCAAGGTTTAGGTGATTCAGGTGTGGTGACTTAAAACCCACCTTCAATATTTGTTCAGAAACAAACTGTGAAAGATGAGATCAGTGTGTTTGGGATTTTGATAGGGAGGCCACAAGGGGTTGTGTTGATCACAATGCTGACTCTAACAACCTGGCCTCCAGCCTTTACATTTTCTCATCCAGAGTGTTTAAGGGTGTTTTAGTAGAAAAGCAAAGCAGCATCTGCCAATTTTAAAGTACATCTTTCCCCAAAAATTCCTGCCTTGGAAAATAACAAGGCTGTGGAAGAGGAAGAAGAAGAAACAACTGAAGATGTCACAAGAGACAAAAGGCCAGCAGGGGATTTTTAATATTTTAACAGCCTCTGGAGTGTGAGATGATGAGATATTTCTAACAGGACTTTGAACACTCACCAAGGCACTGTAACTTTCAGCCTCACACTCTGAGCTGAATCAAAATGAATAATTTAGGAAGAAAGTCTCTTGAACTCTTTGCCATGGGTAGTGTGGATCCGTCACATTGTCATTTCCACAGGTGCTGGGGAACTGTGGGGACACAGTGCCAGCTCTCCTGGGGTTTCAGTCTTTCTTCAGCCATTCTGCTGCCACTTTTAGGGGCTTTAGGAGACTTTTTTGTGGTAAGCGGCACTCTAGCTTTTGACTGGCAGCATAGCACATGTGGAGCAGCAGCTCAGCAGTGCCGGTAAAACTGCTGAGCACACACAGAACAGCAGTGGGGCTGGTAGCACCAAGCTGGATGGGGACAGATGAAAGCCAAGAAGAGCAAACAAACCCTGAGACAGAGTCAACTTTTGCCAGCAAGGTGATGCAGTCAGAACAAGCACTTGCTTCTAGCAGTGTTGAAGTGGTTTAATGAAGTTGAGGGAGTAATTCCCAAAAGACACAAGTAGACAAAGCACTGAGTAGAGAAAAATGCACTTTGCTGCATGTGGGTAGGACCCCTTCTAGCATGGCAGAGAAGCCCTTTGTGGCCATGGTGGGGCTGCCCAGATGTACCTGAGCTGTGTTTTAACTCACATGGGCCGGGCACAAACCCTGCAGAAGGCTCTGCAGATGGGGACCTGCAGCATTAGAAGAGCCCTGGCTGGGCTCATGCTGGCTCAGGGTGCAGGGGCTGCCCCTGCCCACAGACAGCCTCTGTGTGCCCCACTCACTGGCCCCACAGCCAGTTGCTGTGCCCTGTGAGGGCCAGCAGTGGTTACCAAGTCAATCCAAAAGCTGCTTCTTCTGGCTAAAGGCTCTGGTCCTGCTCTGTTGTCAGGATGCTGCAGGACCAGACAGCTTGGAGCCTACACAGCAAAGGTGTTCAGCATCTAATATCTTTGGCTGTGACATCACAGAAATCTCATTCCTTTAGGAAGTGGCTCAGGAATGGCACTTCTCCCTCCCTGCCAGATGGATTACACTCAGCATCTTTGAGAATGAAGAACACTGCCTTCGCAGCTGAATATAGGCAACTTTTCCAGGCTTTTTGTGAATTTGCATGGCATGGAAACTGTTCCCGAATCCCTTAGACACCTAAATAAAGTCAGCTGTAACCTTGGTTTGTAAAGCATCAGCAGCTGCTTTACCAGTAATGCTTTCTGAATTTATAGCTGTATGCCTTGCATGGATCTAAAAAACTCCAGTGACCTTTTCATCAACATTAGGCCATGAAAGGTTACTGCTGGAAAACAACAGGATCAATCAAGCAAAACTATCAACAGTGGGGGAATATGCTATTTATTTACTACTTATGCTAAGATGAAAGAGGGAAAGATGGTAAAAATGAAAATGATTCCTTTTATTTTTTAATCTTGGAGCTCTCCCCTTTCTTTCCTGTCCTATATTTCATAACGAAAGGAGGAAAAGTGATAAACTTCCTCTATTTTTGCTTTTTTAGTCAAAGGAAACTGCAATGGACAAATCAAAAACCAGAATGTTTTAAAGATACTCCTTTTATATTCTTTAGTTAAAACACATATTTAAACACAAACTTAAAAGGTAGTGTAGGGAATCTATGAAATGATTGGGGGTTTTTTCACCTTTTTGCTAAACACAGCAGAGGAAAAAAAATGTCTGATCAGACTAGAAAAAACCCATGATTGAGCAGGACAATTCCTTTGTCTTTCAGGCATAGACTCAAAAAATATGGATAGGTTTATATATAAATACATATGCAGTAACCAAAACCTCAAATTCAAATACACCTGAGCTTTGGGGAAGTTTGTGTATTGATTCAATCTTTGTGGCTTAGACTCATCTGTAACAGAAATATTTGCAAATAGACAGAATACTTCCTCTTTAATCTTATCTAGTGATCTGTCTGTCTGGGATTTTCCTAGAGATGGCCTCAGATCCTGATATCTGAGGGCTGAGTAGCTAAATTATGGCAAGATCATATACAGCTTCACAGAGACCTTTACTTTCTTCTCTTTGCCATGAGCATGTGTTTTGTTTTAATCCACTGGGATGAAAGGCAGAGCAGCAGCACAGCCTGGCTCAGCAGCCACCAGAACTAAGCTTGGCCCACATTTGGGAAAAGATATTTGGACTGCTGGTTCATAAAATCATAGAATGATTTGGGTTGGAAGGGACCTTAAAGATCAGGGACACTGTGGACAGGGACAACCTGGTCTGGTTGTTTGTACTATGGGCAGACTTCAGCTGAGATGCACAAATCAGCTCTGTAAGAGCTTTTAGTTCTCTTTCCAGGGGCTCTTCCAGAGCTCCAAGCACATCCCAGTCTTCATCTCCAGCTCTGGTGCCTCCACCCGTCCAATCCTGCCCTCCACCAGCTGCTCTACAAGTCAGACATTTGGGAAGAGCAAATCCTGGATTCACGTCCAGGAGGTTTTTCTCCATCCACCAAGAGGATTGTTCAAGGTTTCACACCTCCAATGCCACTTTTAGGCAAGCTGCTGCACCCTGGCAATAGCGAAAGATTGTGAAATGTAGGATTTATCCACATGTGCCTGCTGATTGGTGTAAATTAGCTTGGTCTGTTTATGCCCTTGAAGAACCCTGGGCACCACTGGCAAATAAGACAGATTGACTTGAGCTAAGCACCTTCACTTTTCTCTCTCTTGGAGGGCAGGAGGTGGATGAGGCTGTCTGGTAGCTGTTCAGCCCCACTGCTGCTTAGACAACTACCCTGCTTTATATTCTGAATAATTTATCATGGCTTGTACCTGTGCTGGTAGTTACAATTACCCCTGAGATTTAGTGCACTGGGAAGGGCTCCAACTTCAACAGAGCTGTGCCATTCAACATGGATGAGGATAAACATGGAAATTTTTCAGTTTCATTGTGTCCTTTCCTTTCTGTGTCCCCCCACATTGCCCAGAGTGGTTTTGTGACCGCCTTGAGCATTTTCTCGTGGGTAACTTCTCACCACTTCAGATTCCCAGCATTTTCAGTGTGTGAGACCTCACCAGCTCCTACCAGTGCTCGTGTGGTTAATGGGTGAGAGGAGGGGAGTGAGCGCATCCAAAAGGAACGCCAGAAACATAAACAATTTTATTAACAAGACCACAAAACTATTTTTTAATATATGCAGCCATTTACAAGGGGCAAACAAACAAACTGACAGAAAAACCCACTGGGGAGACGTGGTCGGCGTCTGCGACTGCAGCGAGCTTGCTCCAGTGGTGTGGGCAGATTTGGGGAGGGTCCCTTTCCTCTGGGCAGCACCACTCCCTGTGAAACCTGGCACTAAGGAGGTGGGGTGCCACCAGCATCCTGCTGGGGTGCCAGGGACGATGCCAGCTGGGTGAGGGCTCGGGCAATGGTGGAGAGGTGGCTGTTCATGGTCCGCAGCTCCGCCAGGATGTCACTGACGTTCGCAGACGCCTCGGAGCCCGCGGGCACCGCTGGTGGTGGGGACGCAGCCCCCGGAGCGCTGCTTCCCAGAGCTGCTGCCTGGGGATTCTCCTCTTGGGAAGGGTGTGGGGCTGGGCTGCTGCAGGGCTTCATGCCTTCCAGGGAGCCTGTGCTTATGGGTGGCTGGTCTTCCTCCTTGCCTTGGATGGTGGCAAGCGTGGCTGAGGCGAGGAAGGGCAGCCAGTTGATGAGGTGGGTGGCACCACTGGGTGGGACAACGGGCAGATAAATCCCAGAGTGCAGGGATGGAGTAGAGGCAGGCGGGGCAGGGAGAGAAGGAAGTCCAGAGTGAACAGTGGCAGCAGAAGTGGATGGTGAAATAGGAGGTGGTTTTGGATGTAGGGCTGCAACACACACGGGTAACGGTGGTGAAAATGATGCAGTGCCGGTGTCAGAGGAACAGGAGGGTGATGCTGGAGCTGTGAAAGGTCCAGGCTCTTCAGAAGTTGGTGGTGAAGTGGCAGCAGGTGGAGCATCAGGAGTGCAAGGATCTGAATCTGCAAGGAAGATACACCATGAGCCTTCATTCACACATACCCTTACATACAGACTGCTGTCTGCTGTGCCCTCAATGGGACCAAGCCTTCCTTGAGAAAAGGGGAAATTTCACCAGCTGGCAGTGATACTCTCTGTAGGCCCATTAGAAAAGAACAGGTGTAATCTAAGACAAGAGCCTATTGTAGGTTAGCATGAACTAAATATTATAAAACTAAATTATCTTTCCACTCTCATTCTTCATTAAATCTGTGGACAGGCCTGAACATTTTTCTGGTTGACATCTCGTAGCTATGAATTAGCTGGTGAATTACCTACTTGTTTTCCTGGCCAGCCATGGAACCATGGTAATGCCCTAAGTGACTCAGATGTCCTGTGTATATGGGAGGGCTGGACAGCTTCTGCTTGAGCTAAATTGCTGCTTTACAGAGGGTCCCAGTTTTCAGCATTTTGGTTTGAACAGACAGTTAAACACTAGACACAGTAAGGGCTACCTAGTGGCTTAGACCCTTCAATTTTTTTATAATGTGTGGAGACATGGCTGAGTTCACACAATCAAAGTTTGATGTATATCCCTGCCTAGATCCCCTCAGCAACTTCAGATATGGAAATCAAAAAGAAGAGACAGAAAGAAATTGTTGACACTGTGCATCCCTGACTGACATTTGTGCCCTCTTGTAAGTAGTTCACTGGACCTCATCTGATGTCCATTAAGGTCATTAGAAACTTGGATTGAGTCCCTTAGATACAGCATAGGAAGAAAGAGCAGCCTCTGGATGATATAAAGAGGCTTGGAGAGCTACATGACTGTCCAAGGTGCTCTACCCACTGTGCCCAGTTGCTAAATACCATATGGTAAGGATGATCCTATTTCTACAATCATTCTGAAAGCCAGAAATATAATAGGAAATTTTACCTTTTCAACAGCCTCAAAGATTTGGATAGGTGGAATTACAATGTCACACTGTATGTCTTTATTTTAGCATTGGGAACACATTATGCAAGAGGTGGTGAGATGCTACAGGAGTGGTCAGTGTAAAACAGATGTATTTTAAAACTACTTTTGCTGCAATTAAGTGCAAATTTTAAGGCACTGCTGTGGATAAAAAAGACACAAATTAATAAATTTATCTAGGTTAAAACAACCTAGAGAAAGCCAAGTACTGAGGTGTTAACACTATGCTATTATTATTTCTGGCATCTAAAAAATCTGATGTGAGAATACATTTTCATTGCTGGCTGCTTTGGTATTCCAGATAGCAAACTGAAATTCTGACTCAAAAGCAAAGGCTTTTCCCTGTCATTCCTAATACCAAACCAGCTGGACATGCAGGCAGAAAAAGTCCATCTTTGTCCCACATGGGACTACTATGTTGTTCTTAACCAGACACACATGTTGCTTGGAGGGGATTATGACACAAAATTGAGTTTCCCTTTATGTTCCTGAGATTTTTATGGAGAGTTACTGCAGGTTCCTTGAAATGGTTTCCTTCCTTTGTGTATTGGCTTTCTTCCCAATACAAGGTCCCTGCCTACACAGGCACTCGACCCCTGTCCACTGGAGGTGGGCTGAGCATGCTGCATTTTGGGCTTCCAAAGTGTCCAAAATGCTCTTGATTTGCCTTGGGTTTCTCAAGACAAAAACAAAAATAAAGCACAGCTCAACTACAGGTTCCTTTTCCATCCAAACCACCGACATTTGCAAGGACTGAGATGAAAGTTTCAGGTTTGGCTGCACTGTGGTGTTAACCAGAACAGTGTTTATGGTCCATATATAGTGTGGCTAATCCCTGTCCACACTGCCCAAGCAAATCAAATTAAGTGTAATGTTTTTCCATACATTAGAGAGCAGAGGAAGTTTGACAAACCTTAATGTAATCTGGTTTATAATCTGTGGAAATAACTGTCACAATTGATTCTTAAATAGTAAGAGAGATACTCGAGTTAATATACGAAGAGTAGCAATTTATACAGACAAAAATAGAGGCAAAAATCTGGACACCAAAGGCTCTTCCATTTGGCTGAAACCTTTCCAAGCAGTGTGGTTTTCCTATCAGAAGCCACAGTTTTGCGATTCCCCTAATCCCCTTTTAAGATTTATTTATGCCATGTAGCCTTTAAACACAACTTGCTCAGCTTGATCAGGCTCCCACACTTCCATCTAAGAAATTCCACATGGGTATCTGGACACCTGCATGTGTATCCTTGTGTATCCAGGACATGTGGGAGCTGCTGCAATGCTCAGATCAGAGAACACAGAGTGACTGATGGCTGGGATGGGTCTGACTCAGCTGCTCAGCATCCAAAGACTGCAGAACCACAGCACACTGAGCCTGGGAGGGACCTCTGCAGAGTGCCCAGTCACAAACCCTGCCCAAAGCAGTGTCAACAATTTTTTTTCTCCAAGGTCAAAATTGCAGGAGTGCATTTGAGAGAGTCCAGTTATATGGGAGTTCTGAATAGGATGAAACATGGAGCAAGCAACTACTGTTGTGTATCAGATACAACAGGATGATTTATTTCCTTCCTCTCTAATGCTGTTTTTTTTTTTCCCTCTCATTGCAACTCATCACAATTTTAGTGCCTGGTCATTTCCACTTTTTTTGTACAGCCCTTACAAAAAAAGAGTCTTAAACTGGAGCATCCAGGTGCACTGTCACTGCTGGTGATGTTCAATCCACATCTAGACAGAGCTGGAGCTAAGTGGGGTTGGATGGATGCCTGCAGAGAGGAGAGATGTTGAACACAGAGTGCTCAGACAGGTACAGTTACCTTCCCTAAGGATATCAGCCACCTGCTCCTGGTCATTCAGCATCCCCCAGTACACCCAGTCCACAGAAGCTGAGTGGATGCTGCAGCCTACCCCCACATGCAGACACTGACTGTTCAAGGCAAGCTTGTGGCTTAGAAGAAAATTTAAATCATCAGCTGGGGGAGTGAATCCAGGGTTGGGATCAGCTTCATCTAAACAACTGAACTAAAAGTGCTTGGTGAAGAAATTCCTTGGAAGTTCCCGCACTTTCCATGCTGTGTATCAAGGGAAAGCCCCCTAAATGAAGGCCTAGACACATAAGGTTTATCTCTCTGAGCAATTTCAAGAGTCACTTCTTTTATATTGAGAGCACAGGCAGCTTTGCCTCATCCTTCAGGAGGACTGTTTTACTGAGATGGGATTCCAGTCATAGAATCGCAGAATATCCAGAGTTGGAAGGGACCTACAAGGCTCATGGAGTCCAAATCCTGAACAGGTCCACCCCAAAAATCACACCATGTCTCTGAGAGTGTGTTGTAGTTTTTCTTCAGCTTTACCAGGCTTGGTGCCATGACCACTTCCCTGGGGAGCCTGTTCCAGTGCCCGGCCACCCTCTGGGTGAAGAAACCTCTCCTAATATCCAACATAAACCTCCCCTGACACAGCTTCATGCCATTCCATCAAGTCACCTTTGGCTTGTCTGTCTATACACAGTCACAACTTACAGCATAGATGTCTACATTTTATTTAATTCCCAAGCCTTTCTTTGCATTCAGTGGATTAAATAGGTCGAGCATCACCTCCTTATTGCTAGAATGAGAGATTTATCTTCATCACTTTGCAGGGAATAATGTTGGATAACTAAATTGGATGTGGATGTCATTATCTGAAAATGCCTACATTGCAAAAGAGTGCCATGTACCTGTGCATAAAAATGACTGCCTAGCTTAAAAACATTCCATATCCTCCTGATCTACTATGGCTCTCTCAAAGGGAAAGCCATTGCACATCCTTGTTTTACCTATTTGCAAGCAGGAGGAAACATTTCTGCTCTGCCACCTCCAAGAGGATCTCAGGGTGTCCAAAACTCATGAGACTGTAATGAGAGGGACCAGAGGAGCACCTCCAGGTGGGGATTTCCTAATATTTGTGCTGCTCATGATGATGAATGTCACCAAAAGATTAATGATCTGCTCTGTGAAAATGGCCAACTAAAGTTATTTTAAATGAATTCAGCTGTATGAGAAGATAATGTACTTCACTTTAGAGTCGGCCTTGGCTATCTAAGCTGCTTTTGTTTGACTACTGATTTTATCTGCCTTGCAGCTAAATTGCTGCAAACTCTGATTTCTCAGTCTATTGTCAACTAACAAGGGAAAGGTCTGTGAAGAAGAAACCTTGAGGGAAAAGCAGGAGCATGACTTTCCACAGATTCAGCTCATCTAACATCAGCCCTTTAGCTGGCATCTAGCATGAGGCAGTCGTCTTGGCTCCAGTCAAGAAAGAAGCACCTCTGGGGCAAAGCCACTCCAAGACATCCAGTCCCAAAGTGGGGTGAAGGATCATGCTCTGAAATGTCCCTGCCCTCCCACAACTTCTGGTAAATCCACTACCTTAGATGGGCTGAGTATCTTCTAAATGGGTGAGGTTGTGGGAGCTGGATTTCCCACTTTACAGGTAGATGTAACGAGTAATTTCACAGAATCACAGACTGGATCAGGCTGGAAGGGACCACAGAGGGTCATTTTTGTACATGCCCCCTGCTCAAGCAGGGCCATCCCAGAGCACAGGGCACGGGATTGTACCCTGATATTACCGGTATATCCCCAGTGAGGTAGACTCTCCATGATTTCTGGACAGACTGTTCCAGTGCTTGGTCACTGCCCAGGAAAGAAGTTCTTCCTCATGGTCAGGTGGAACTTCCTGGGCCCTCTTCCTGAGCTTCTGCCCTCTGCCACTTGTCCAATGGCTGGGCACCACAGGCTAGAGCTTGGCTCCATCCTCTTGGCACCATCAATTTCCTATCAAATCTCAATAGCAGATGGGTAATGCTGCTTCTGTGTTCCCATGGAAAGCACAAACCATAGAGACAAAGTTTAAGATACAGGAGAGTAGAACCTGAAGCCCCTAGAGTGCTTCAAGGAATGAACTTGTGATTGAGAAGGTGATAATCTTTCAAGTGAGTCAGGACTGAAAAAGCAATCTATTTCAATAGTGTCAGTACTTCATCTATTTAAATAACCAGTGCTT